GGCAGCGATCGAGGAAGTTAAACAACTTTCGTGATGGTCGGTCATTGGATGGGTGACCAAACAAAGTTAGTTTCTATCGTCTCTTAATAGTTCCTCATAGCTATGCAGTTATTCTTTTCACAGATTGTCGATAGAGTATTGTACACATATGTTAAAGAAAAGTTAAAAAATAAACATGCTATAGAAGTGAATACTACAAAAATGTGAACACGTAGAAGTCTTTCGTTTTTCTTATCTTATCTTAGGTGTTTTTCTTTCCCATCAGAATGTGATTTAGTGATTTATATTAGCTATAACTTAAAAACTACTGTATTTACCTGATAAGCCTTTAGAATGCTTAAAATTTAGATTATGCCATTTTTTATGATATCAGTTAGTACAATATAATTTATTATAACATTATCTTTATTTTCTTTCTTTGTTTCCCCTGTGTTCTGAGGTAGACTAATGGGAGCAGTGGAAGGAGACAAATACCATTACCCCAGGCAGCGGCTGTTTGACTGTGGCCTTGGCCTTCACTTGGAGAGAGAAAACTCATAGACAAAACAGCTGTCCTACGTGTGTCAGTAATATAAGTGTCAGTGTCACGCCCCGCTCAAAAACAAACATTACAATCTTAGGTTTTTTTTCCAAATACCTATTTATTTATGAATAAATACTGTAAGAAAATATCCAAACATTTGAAAGGTAAGGATTGTTGATAAAAACCAAGCTTAAATAAATAAACAACATAGGCAACTACCAAACGTTTAATACTTAACTATTCAGGTATTTTAAAATACTGGACTTTAAATATTCTATACTTAAATTGTTTCGAAAAAATAAATAATAGCTTATTAAAAAAAACAATTAAAACAAAGTTACCGAGCTCAGGAAAGAACCACCGATCAGTTGATGTCGACCCCAAGACCGTAACCAATCGGCTATCCATCTCTTATGGTAGGCGATAAAATTACGGAAACCTATCTTGTGTCAAATACTCTACTTCCGTTTCATCGAATCTCAAATCACAACGGTGCTAAAGAAGTTTTCACTTCAAAAATTTGAACCACAAAACATGATTTCTATAGGACCATAAAATCGAAAAAAAAACACGAAATATCACAAGGATACGTGTGTTTATCTTTCGTTGAACGCACGATTTCTAAATCAAACAGTGACGCGTGGCTTTGACTTGCCATTGAACGATTTAAAGAAAATATTTCAAATTTATTAAATCTATTTTAAATAAAAAAATACTCGTGAATTTAAGTATTAATCGGGGAGGGTTGGTCTAAAACCTCACCGCATATCACCAGTTCAAATTTGCTAAACACATTATATTAATACGTGATTAATGGAGCTCCGTCTACAAAAACATATTTCAAATCTGTCTCAGATATCTAGATAGCCTCGGGAAGTTCATTGGCTCCAGCGACATAGGTTAAACATAAATAATAAGTACCTATGCCACTAAATTATGCGCCAGAACAGAAGAACTGCGGCAGATCACTGAGTCATGTTTATAGAATACTAGCGGCCCGCCCTCGCTTCGCTTAGTTGTACAGCTGAAGTGTAGACTACAGTTTTTGTTCTCTGGCTCGTATTATACACAATGACATTCATCTATAATTCTTCTTATACCTGCATGCAAAGTCTCAGCCCGATCGGTTTAAAATTGACAAAGTTTCATACAAACTTTCATTCCCTATTTTATCCCCTTGGGGGTAGAATTGATCAAAATCCTTTCTTAGCGGATGCCTACGTCATAACAAGGTCATAACATCTACCTGCATGCCAAATTTCAGCCCGATCCGTCCAGTGGTTTGGGCTGCGCGTTGATAGATCACTATATCAGTCAGTCAGTCACCTTTGAGTTTTATATATATAGACAGATGCTTAGATTTTTTTTTCAAGCAGTTATAGTAGTTTTATCACCACATTCGATACCTACTTGCTTTCCATAACGTTCCCTAATAGAATTTGTATTTGAATTCTAATATTTGTAAGAAAGTATAAACTATATGTATGCAAAAAACAGCAAGGTACAAGGTATTAGGAAACCCTATAGTTGTCAGTATTCGACACTACCTGCTAAACAACCAAACGTAATTGGATAATAAGTAACCATTAGTTAGCTTCATACTGTTAAATATTTTTCAGCTAAAATGATAATGTTACAGTTATAAAAAACGCGATATTTAATTCGTTAAAAGTGGTTTTATATAATATAATGATAAACTTTGGCACAATAATTAACGTTTATAAATAAAAAAATCGTAATAATTAGTTCGAAAATCTATTTAAAAATCTCAAATTAATACACAGTAACATACTGGAAGATACATGGTAAAAATGGCTTGAAGTATTCTCTGGTAGGATAAATGTAAAAATACACTAAACAAATTTCATTAAAATATGCAGAACGAAGTACTAAAAATATTAAAATAGGTAAATATAATTTCATCCTTTCAATTAAGGTAATAAGGTATTTGACAAGTTTTATAAAACGATCTCACGTTATTGACTAACGTTTATGGAGTCCGTAAAAAGTGGATATTCATCATTCTGTTGTGTATTTCAGTAAAAATAACCAAATCAAAAACTCCATTTTCAAGTTGCCGCGAAAACGTTTCTCTAGACAATATGACGTCATACTAGTGTGTGACGTCACACGACTGTTATTAAAACGTCAAACGATACAATGTAATGTTAACCGGAAGTTTACTTGCGTGTGACGTCATTTTAGGCTCCGCCAATCCCAAGCGTTTTGGGTCACGTGACAATAGATAAGAAAACTATTATATTTTTTCGTGGGTTTTTAGTAAAATTATGAATATTTTTTTGTAAAAATATTAAAAACTCCTGCCAATGTTCATTCTAAACACAGATTCTAACAATTGCCACTTTATTTTTAATACTATCAAATACCCTATTTGAAATTTACCCAACATTTTTGTCACAAAATAGTCACAGAAGAGTTAAAATACATATGAACTTGAAACTTTTCAAATGTAGAATTATTCATGTATCTAGGCCGGAATATGCTAACGAATGACGTATAGGAAGAGCAAGTGACGAAAGTGCCGTTTTCATTTTTCCAAATTTGAATTGAAAGATGTTAAAATATGTGAGCTCAGTCCTCCTTAATGACACCATCGTATTGGTAAAAAATTTGATGAAAACGGTAATGTGTATGGGTAACATACACAATACATACCTAGTGAAGGCATAACAAATTTCTTCATATTTCGATTATTGCATCTAATTATATTTAATAGAGAAAAATTTAATAGCAAGCTTGAACTTAAGAAATTATAACTAGAAAAAATTCCACGCGGACCAGCACGAAACATCAAGCAGTTACATGCTTTAAAAAATAATAAAAATTATAAGCTTGAACTTGTTCTATCATATTATTCAGCATTTTTTTTTTTTTTTATGTTGGGGCATACGAGCAGACGGCTCACCTGATGGTAAGTGATCACCGTCGCCCATGGACACTTGCAACACCATGTCTAGTACTTGTGGTAACTTTTATTTATACTTAAATACCTAAACAATATAAGGAATAATAATTAAACCAAACAAATGAAATACTAATCCCAATAATTATCACTCTTTATTGGCTCAGAATTAACAACAAGGTCATATCATTGTTTGTAAAATACAGTTACAGAGGAAAATATTACGAAAGAATAAAAGTACAAACAAATAATGTTGCGTGACTAGTAAATATAAATACGATACAATAGTTAACTTTGTCATTGAACGACAAATTTTAGATGTGACGTATTGGAAAGGTTCCGTTGATAGAATTAAATATTGTATGAATCATCAAAATCGGTCCAGGCGTTTGGTCTCTAGTGTGCCACAAAGGAACATACATACATATATAGACTGTTAAACACTATACCCTGTCTGCGCGTCGCGCTTCGCGCTCTTGTAATGCGCAGTCGGGTAAACAATGAAATTACATTATTATAAAGTCTTCAGTTTCTTGACCGTTCGTCTAACCGCGTTTTTCTTGGTCATATTAAGCTCAAATTAATAACAAATAAATATTTAAATTAATAAGAAATAAATACACAAATTGATAACAGATAATTACTAAAATAATAAGAAATAAATACACGGCATCGTCAGCCGGCGATCGTAAAAGTTAAGCAACCTTCGCAATGCTCGGTTATTGGATGGGTAATAAAAATCTTATTATCTCGATCTCCTCCGTGTTTCGGAAAGTACGATAAGCCGTTGGTCTCGGCTATGTCTGCAGTCGTTAGCACCCACCAATTCGAACAGGGCGCGTGGTGAATCACGGCCTAAGGTAAGCCTTGTGAAGATATTTAACCCATAAGCTGCCCATTGAGCTGTTTTGAACAAGACGGTGACTTGGCCTGGGAGATATACACCTTGTCGTTGACGTCACCATTGCGTCTCTCTCTTAATAACATTATAGAAGCTTTGTGTGTAGGCACTCACCCTATAAGCTGCCCATTATTAAGCTGTTCTGAACAAGGCGGTGGCTTGGCCTGGGAGATATACACCTTGTCGTTGACGTCATCATTGCGTCTCTCTCTTAATAACATTATAGAAGCTTTGTGTGTAGGCACTCACCCTATAAGCTGCCCATTGTTGAGCTATTCTGAACAAGGCGGTGGCTTGGCTTGGGAGATATACACCTTATCGTTGACGTCACCATTACTTCTCTCTCATAATAACAATATAGAAGCTTTGTGTGTAGGCACTCACCCTATAAGCTGCCCATTGTTGAGCTGTTCTGAACAAGGCGGTGGCTTGGACTGGGAGATATACACCTTGTCGTTGACGTCACCATTACTTCTTTCTCTTAATAACAATATAGAAGCTTTGTGTGTAGGCACTCACCCTATAAGCTGCCCATTGTGAGCTATTCTGAACAAGGCGGTGGCTTGGCCTGGGAGATATACACCTTATCGTTGACGTCACCATTACTTCTCTCTCATAATAACAATATAGAAGCTTTGTGTGTAGGCACTCACCCCATAAGCTGCCCATTGTTGAGCTGTTCTGAACAAGGCGGCGACTTGGCCTGGGAGAAGAGCACCTTGTCGTTGATGTCACCGCGGCTACCACGCCCCATCAGCGGCAGGTGGATCTGGGTGCCCTTGGACTCCATCTTCAGGCCGGGTGTCATCGCGCCGCTACCATCGTGTGATAGGAGACCCTGGAAATAGGAAACACACTAGCTTGAGGAACACAATCATCTCTTATCTATTAGACAAGTCAGGCTTCGTCGTCAGAATAAAACTTGAAACTCGTTTTATTCTGACCACGAAGCCTGTAAAGGCTACGAAACGTCATAAATAAATAAAGTTTCGTGCATTAACCCGTAAAAACTTGTTTTATTTGTAAATGTTGTTACAATAGACTTTTAATATTTTTTAATATTAATTTTAATAACGAGTGGTAGGGAAAAAAAATTTGGACGATTCAAAAGAGTTGTACTGTACATCCAATTTGAATAAAGATATATTTCTGATTACTGATACATATTTGAGTACAGTTTTATGTAGAAATATATAGAAACATCAACGACTTAGATACAAGTGCTCATATTCATTATACTAACATTTGCCCCACCGGTATTCGAACCCGTTACGCAGTTTAAACGTATATACCACTCGGCCACGGAGATCGTCATCAAAAAAAAGCGTCACTTATATAAGACTAAACATCAGCCCGTGGCTATTTTCATTTCCTGATTTAATCTCTCTTTACAATACCTAAAGTGTTGAATTTTTAAACAAACACATCACTGATTTAAAAATACAATCTCCATTTATTGACCTTTTTTTATGCGCTGGGGAAATGCATTAAATTGCATGCCACATGGTGGTTATGTGAGGCTCTCCTCCCAAGAAGGGGGAGGTCTACCCACTAAAACCCCAGCCACGGTAATATTATCTAAACAGTATTGTGACTCCGCCCTGTCCTTGAAAATAAATGCCTACACCGAGCGCTGCGTTGGCACGCGGTAGGGCCGCCAGCCTGCAGTATTTTATGTAGTTTTGTTTTTAACGCGAGTGAAGGTAGATTACTCGTTTGTCTCTTTTTTCATTCTAACCACTTATTTATATATTATTCCAGATATTTTGCCCGATGGAAAAACCGAAATACCTAAATATTAGAAACAAATAACGTACTAGTAGATAGGTATGTAAAAAATATTCTATAAAGGTAAGACACCTTTCCAATATTTCAGGTAATTTAAAAAATGATATCTCTGGGTGTGTTATTGAAGAGTTCAAGCAACCAAAAACAGCAATTGTGCTGTTGTACAATATTGATCGTCGTTTGTTCTTGTCCATATTAAATTATGTAGGTATCTACTTAATTAAATCAAATATTTACAATACAAAACGCATGTTTAAGCACGGCTAACTGCATAAAAAACAATTCAAAACCGTTCGGTCATCGTTGCGGCGCGGCGGCGCATTCGCGACTGGGTGCACGCCGAGAGCACATCGAACTCGAGTGGCGTAGGTATGACTCGCTTTCCGACAGTTTGTATGAAGATAGAATACTGTATGATATTATTACCGTGCCCCAGCGATGGCCGCCATCAGGCTTTACGGGGCCTCAGGATCGAGTATCGCATCTGAGGACCCGCAGTCCATTTATTGACCTATTACTTCAATAACCAATTTTGACATTTCTATTATTCACACAGACATTAATCCCCTATTTTACCCCTTAGCCAAGGGATGAATTTCCAAACAGAAATGTGTTTAAGCTTTTAACTTTTTTCGTTAACGAAAAGCTCATTTTCCAATTTTCAGAGCTACATTCGCAATTTACGAAGTTTTGTATAAACCTTTATCCCTTATTTTTAGTTAATTACGTGTAATTTCAGTGGAGCAGTGTTGATAGATCAGACAACGGTCGCCTCTTATGGGAACCAAACGAAACTGATGTTTCGAAGTTCTAAGAATAAATAAAATTGATACGTTTCAAACAATAGGCTTTGTTCAAATAGAAAGATCTGTTGTTCCTTGCGTTTAGTTGACTGTTATGTTGGAGTGACGCGGTGGAACCAGCAAACAAGACTAATGCTTCAAGAAAGCTTGTAAAAAAAATGTTTCATAGTTTTTCACGCACATCACTTATTAAATAAAACTAGTTTTAACGGGTTTATGGCAGCGACATTTACATGCCCCACATATAATCAAAATGGAGGAAAAATGGTCACTCGCCTCCTCAAGAGATGGCGCAACCAGCGCTGCACTTACAACGTATGGAAGCCTAAATCGCGCAAGTAAAATTCGGAGGCTAACACTTCATATATACGATGTCCGACCAACATCAGTCGGGCCGCGGACCCCGAGCTACCATCACCCAGTTCGGAGGAAGATCTTTTCCTTTGGCCTTCCTACAGGTTAATGCACAAAATTATTCTGACGACGACGCAGACCTGAAAAGGCTACGAAACATCAATAAATAAAAAAAATTCGTGCAATAACCCGTTAAACAAAATATATTAACGTCGCTCCGAATATGGCGGACTAATGAATCATCGGTAAGGTAAGCAAATAGATCTTATACATTTCATTTATACACTATTCACATCGTTCTCGATGCATAAAGGTTTGACAATTTTAATTGTAACTTTATTTATTTTCATATTTTAATGCACCAGTCATTTTATAAAACACTTTTGTAAATATACCAGCGCCGCATGCGACTTTGTCCGCGTCTAAATTAGTTTTTTAAGCATTCCTCAAGACACCTATTGATTTTACTACAAATATCTCTTATCTATTAGACAAGTCCGTCCGTCCGTCTGTGGTGCTGTTTCAGCGGCCAAACCGTAAGAGATAGATAAAGAGAATATTCAAGTTATAAGTTAAGAATAGTCTGATAAGACTACAAACCGGATTTGAGTAACGTAGCACTTCCGGTTTTCGAGAAATCACGAATTTCAAACGAAACCACACAAAATCTCCGAAGTTCTCAATTAATTAAATACATATTTTTTTTAATCACGTTTTGGTGAACATTTGGTTCACTGGTTTGCTAGTCTTATTTAAATTATGAGGGATCGATCACTTCGAAACGAGGGCTTCGAATTAAACGTAGGAAGGCCATTTTTAAATGGTGACACATTACATAATTGATTTGGTAAGTGCCATTTCATAAAGTGACGTGAAGGTCACGCATCTGCCACCTGTCGACCCATGTCAAAGCAAAAACCTTTGGCACTTTCCAACTCAAATCATGACCCTCACAAAAATTATATAGGTAGGTGTCGTAGGATAATTTGATAAATCGAATTTTCGTGAAAATCCAAGGGATTTTGTGAAAATGTAGATAATTAGACAATGTCGATGACATGCTCAATCTTTCTTTTAACGAAACTTTTCTGGCGTCATGTTCACAACACTAACCTTAACTAGTATCAAGGGCGGATCCAGAGGGGGGGGGGGGGGGGGGGTCATGGGCATTAATATTGTCACAAACGCTCTCGAAACAAAACAGCACAGAATTTACCAGAACACAGGGTCGGGATAAAGGTCGAGTGGTTCGGCTCATTCTAATATGAGCCTTATGAGGTGCGTTATAAGGGAGAAAATCCACGACATCTGCAATTGTTTACAACTTACATAGATATAAGTAAGTACTACGCACTCGCGGGTGCTAGTTAACTCTCTATTTAACGGGACTTTTCCAGAATGCGTCGATTGGCGTATACAAGCGCGATCGATGCCGCGCAGAGACAGTTGAGTTTCAACAGTTATTTCGGAACGAATACAAAAGTGATCAAAGTACAAGTGTTCAAGTGCGACTGTATAAAGACTTGTTTATTGAATACAGTGTTTTGTGATTGACATTGTGTGTTAACTTTGTGGTGAATAAAGAACCGAGAAGCGTGAACTAACATATAATTTCGAACCCCATTCCAACACGTAACAATAAGAGGTTAAATGACAATTTGTTTAGTAAATGACGGTGACCAGGTATAAATGTAATGATAATATCGACTCATATTATTATTATCAATTAATATTCTGATTCATAGCCGGGTTTTACTATATTTGTAATTGAAAATGTAGATAGTCACACTTAAGAGTAGTAAATCAGTATTAGTGAGTGCTGAACAACATTACTTACCATTAGATAAGATAATGGTAACCGTAATAGCCAACGGAATCGGTTTAATGTTGACCTTTATGTGGCTTTAGGCTGGTAAGCTATCACTAATGGGACTGTTTGATACAAGGATTGGTAGAACATTTTGAGCCAGCCTGGGGTATACGCTTTTCAGCTTAATTTAGAAGTCAGAAATTCAGTCATTTGTTTTTTTTAATTCGTGTTTTACGGCCGTAGCGTTCACTACTTCGGCATTTTATTAGCGTCTCTAGTTTCCATTTATTTATATATCTTCATAGGTATTTATCACCTAGTCATATAAGATGGGGTATGTATTTGTGTTTTAAAGATCCATCTATCTTTCCAATTGACTAGGAATGCTGCAATTTTGGTAGATCTGAATTAAGCCATCTATCAGTAACATCCTTTGTATAAGGAAAGCAGGGCAGTCCGAGATAAGATGTTGCAAGGATTCAACATTATTTGTAATACAGTATTAGCATCTGTTTCAGTCTTCTAGTTTTATTATGTGTAAATGCTCACGAAATCTTCTGTGACCAATTCTAATTCGGTGTATCGTGTTAATGTACTTTCTTGATGGTTTTTTTAATTTACAATGCCACGGTTTTATTGGGAATATATCTTGGATTTCAGCATGCCATGTTCCTTTAGTTATCCTTTTTCCTGGAAATATAGATTCCATATTGAATATATCCTGTCTTTGTTGCTACCATAAAAAGCCGTAAAAGGTATCTGAGCTAATTCATGAACAAGTATGGTGAAATTTTTAAATTTCATTAACGAGTCCGCAGTTTCGTTGCCTGTAATGCCAGAATAGGAGAGAACCCATATGAATTCTATAACTAGCTCTTGGTCTATTATCAATCTTCATAACCATTACTCCAATAGGTACTTTATTAGCATTATGAGTATTTATTCGAAAGAAGAATTCATATTCAACATAATGCTTATCCGTTTAAAAGCATTCAATTGTACATGTCCATAAAAAAACTCATCTTCGTAATTGTATGGATCGGACTTAGTATACATAATGCAGATTGTTATAGCGATACCACTC